TGCCTGGTTTATACCCCTGTGATCCACAAAGAAGTAAATTTCAATCAATTCTGTGGAAAAAGAAACTTTTGCATGTACCTATAAACAAAACATGCATTGGCAACACTCAAGAACTCTTAAAAAGCAAAAACTCCGGGGGTTGACTCGTGCAAATGACTGTAAAATTCAGATGCTGACCTCCAGTCAATAAACACCCAAACTACTGCGGATACATTTCCCTGGTTTACACAAGAAAGGCAGGGAAGGTGAATGGCCTGGCCTGATAACAAAAGCCAAGGGATGAACTGGGAATATAAATTAAAACTTTTGAAACTCAGTCCTTGCTTTGTCTAGACAATGTTTCTCTGGATCTGGGTTCTTTTCTTGTCTTAAGTCCAATCCAAAAAAACCCAAAAAAAGGTAAAAATTAAAGAGATTTAAGCAAAAATATCCAGCAGTCCCTGTATGTTTCCCAGACATTTTTTAGCAGTTTCTGTTTATAGTACAAAAAAAAAAAAAAGTCAGCATTTTTTGTCCCTCTACTTGGTAATTTTCCTTTTCATATTTCAACAGCTTGCAAAGGGGCTGTCCTTTAGGTTAATATAAAAATCTCAGCATAAACAGCAAGAAGCAAAAGAACAAATAGCTTTCCAAAGGTAAAAGCTAAAGTAATGTTATGATCAGGACATTTAGCTTTCCTCAAGTGGATTTGCTCTGTGCCTCTTAAAAAGCTGACAACTCTCACTTACCAAGCTTTTCAGCTTGAGAATTTAGTTGGGGAGGGTTACAAGTTTGTTTTAATTTAAGGAGAGAAGTTTAAAGTTTTGTTTAACATCTGAGATATTAACTACTTTCAAATCATTCCCAACTCCAAAATTCTTGCTACGAGTCTTCTTTTGATTCATAATATTTTGCTTATTTGCTCACGTAACCAGGGGCCTGAGAAGCCCCCCTGTAAAGCAGGGGCTCCACTGTGGCAAGCGGGCTGGAGAGGGGGGACCCCGGCCAACTCGGCCAACTTGTGGGCAAGCGGCGTCAGAGGAGAGGGGGGGTCTCAGGAGCGCAGCCGCCAGCAAGGGAAGCTGTGGAGAGGGTGACTGCGTGCGTGGGCAGGAAGCGAGTGTGACTGGTGTGGGGACGAGGCCGGGCGCAGCGCGGAGGTGGCGCGCAGGGGGTGTCGTGGAGACTGTGACGAGTGCGAAGCCAACGCGGGGTCAGCTGCTCGCGGACGGAAAGGGGAAACGGCAAAGGAAAGACTGCGGAGGCAAACGGAGCCGAATTAGTTGTGGGCTACAGGGGAGAGCCTAAAAATTAATTCACTGCTTATTAGCAAGAGCAATTACAAAGGAACAGGAACCTTAAGCGTGTGTCAAGCTCCAGGGAAAGCCTATTTATACCCTCTTGATCAATGGCCTGAAATTGGGCAGCTCTCTGGGTTTCACTTTAAGACAAGTCTAGGGTTTTCATGCTGTCATCTGTTTGGCTAGAAAAAGGTCAGCCCTCTGCAATGCTTTGCTAAGTACAATTTCCCCCCGAAATTTAAAGAACACATTTAAGGCTTTTCCTCATTGATAATTAACTTGAGTTGTTATTAACTCAATTGTTGTCTCTATGTCAAGTCCTACCCACCCACAAAAGCTCTTAACTCAAGACTGGCTCTTCTTTTAATTTGAGTTGGCTGTACATCAGACAGTACCTGGGAGGACAAGGATATGGCACAACTCAACAGCTACTAAAAGAAAACAAACACCCTAGAAAGCAGAGACGGACCCGCTCCACTGGAGGAGTAACTCCGCTCCTTGGATGCTGTGCTATTTATATCATCATTGTGCCAAGGAGTCCTAGTTACACACTAGGCTGTCACTGCACACCACTGCCCTGCTGTGCTCAGGGATAAGAGACATGAGAGATTTCTAAAATTGTTTAGCTTATTAAAGGTCAAAAATATATGGGATGCAGTCTTGTGAGCATGTGGATGATGAACACACGCAGTGAAGGTGTGGAAACAGCCATTCTCTCTCAAACAAGGCTAATGCAAGAGGAGCAATGTGAGTGCCAGTCATCTGATTTGCATCCTAGTGAATGCACACAATTTGCACAGCCTGTACTGAACTTAACGAGGGATGAATGCTGCCAGCTACCAGTGGGGAATTCATAGCGAAACAGCCTTACAGGTACTCTTGCAGAATGACTCACAGGCAGACAAGCTCCAGCTAGGCACATGGCACGATCTGCAACCACTGACTTCTTATCATCTGGGAGTTTGGAGATAGACATCAGTTGCTCTAACAGTACAGGAAAGACTGCTGGAGAAAACTACCTTAAAAAAACCCAAAAATCTTGACCAAGCAACTTCCTACTGTTGCTGATGATGACCCTTATTCAGTGTGTATCCATACCACGTGCTGGCAGGCAGGGAGAAGGGATGATACCACTAGAGAATGTGTGTCACTCTCCCTTTGCCATCCCAGCCGGCACCTGGGCTTCCCCGGAAGACGATGGCCCCTTTACATAAAGAAGTCTGGATCACAACTTTGGGGACACACACCTTGCTATTACTTCATCCCTTACTGACAAGACAAGTAATACATAGGCTGGCAGGCTGGAGGCATTTTCCATCTGTTAATAGCGTCAATACCAAACCTCTGCCCTGAAAGAAGACTCAGGACAGGGACAGCTTGTTCCAGAAGAAGGTGGGAAAGAAAAAGAAAAAACAACAACCAACTCAAACACCCTGAAGGCTGGTTTTCAGCACCACGAAATTTCTTTTATGATGTTCATACACAAAATGAGTAACACTAACTTGCAACCTGCTTAAGAGAATGCACCTAACTCCAAAAACTTCCCTAAACAGAACAAGTCAGATGCCTTTCTGAAGATATATAAATAAAGCACAATGCAGGATGGATACAGCACAGCCTATACAATGCTGGAGAATGTAGTGATACTCTTCTGACCTTAAAAAACAAACAAACAAAATCCATACATAAAACTTTCAATCAAATCAAGCAGCGAACATTATGGTGACTGCTGCTAATGAAACCCTGTTTTGATCAACTAAGTACACACATAAAAATATTTCTGTCACTAATCCTGTTTTATTAGACCTTGGTTCTAGGCCTTTCTGGCCTCTACTTAGCACGGGACTGCCCTGGAGCAGCTGGAGGCCGTTCTCAAGCAGCTCTGCTTTGTGCCGACACACGAACAAGTGCCAAGAGGCAATTACACAGGCTGGGGATTGCCAGCGGCCCCTTCTCAGCACAACCTCTGCCCAGAGCAGGGTGCTGCCCTGTGTGTCACCCAAGCAAGGCTCTCCTCTGCTGCCAGACTGGTGGAAAGCAGCCCAGGATCTGACCTGATGCTACCAAGTGCAACCTGCTGTAATCACCCAAAAATCGTTAGTAAATTTGGAGTTATGTGCCAACCACTGCAAAAATCTACTGTCAAGTGATTTTAGTTGAACGTGTCTTCATTATTATACTCAACAGCGCTACAAACAGAGCTAACTATGTGGTCACTGAAGTTTCTTTGGTGAAATACAGGTACAGAAAGGGATTTCATCAAGTCCTTTTACTGCACAACGTCAAGAGAAAACATCAACTCATTTTTTTATTTATGGAGTAAAAGAAAGTCAAGAGGGCTGAACAGAAAAGTTCCCCTTTTTTCAGCTCATGTCAAAACAGATGCTATTGTGTGCATACATTATCAGAACCAGGATAATTGTTTAGATGGACCATTACGATCATCAGCCTGACTCCAGACAACTGTTCTAGAATTAAGGAAATGATCTAAAATATTTTGCCTTCTGTAAGAAGTTTAACATGCTTCGTTTTGTCCCAGTTCAGGACAAAAGCAAAGTCGGTATTTTGAAGCTAGCCAGAAATTCAGCTCTCAACTCTCTAAGAAGGGTCTCATCTTAATTCAGTATGACTTCTATGAGTATTAAAAAAGTATTTGAAAAATTGCTTTTGCCTCACTTAAGCAAGTACATAACTGCATTCATAATAATGTTTAGCTAATAATTTGGGTGGGTTTCTGCTTTTTATCTAATTCCCCCCAGCTGCATCTGCACGCTGAAAGTGGTGGTCCTGCTCCACTTTCTGTGTGTTCCCCATCCCCTCTGTGCGTTGCACTCAGCAATCGTATGGCTGTGGGATGGACTGGTTTAGTAAGCTGATCTGAGGGGAAACCACTTTGTTTTGTTTTGGTTTTTTTGCAAGTTGGTTTTCCAATGGAGCAACTTGCTGAGTCCGTTCACCTTGTAGCCACAGTCTCTGTATCTGGTGTGAGAAAAGTCGTAGGAGTGTGTGACCAGGGATGGAGGGAAGTGCAGGATGACTCTTTTTGAGAGCAGCCCACAGTTGGGTCACATAAAAGCTGTCACTACAATCCCATGGGTTTGCTCTTACAGGTGTGGTTCTGCAGCAGCACAACTTGCCTCAGACTTGACTGAGGCCAATACTGCTGTGGACTTCCCAAGTGCCTGTGCCACCTCCCATGCTGTAAAATCAAGGGAGGGGCAGCTTCAAGGAGTCTGTCAGCTCCCTGAACTGGCTGGCTGAGGGGTCACAAACCCCACTGTCACAACTACAGAAGGGATGGGATGGTGGCAAGCTAGATTTATATTGATTTAAGCTGTTGCAGAGTTATACTGATTCAGTTTTTCATTCTCATAGCTGTCAAAACTGGGCAATTTGATTCCCGAGATACTTGTAGAAGTTTCCAGGGAAGGTTGCTGCTGCTATTCCATCACTTCTGTCCCAGCAGCAACTCACATTACTGCTAGGGATTGAAAAAAAAAAAAAAAGAAAAAGAAAAAGAAAGTAAAAGGGACAACTGTTGAAATAGATTCATCATGTGATGACAGTGAGGAAAGACTAGGAGGGACACAGAAGAAGTGTGTTTCTCAAAAAAAAAAAAAAAAAAAAATTTTTTTTAAAATAAAGCTCTATCACAAAAGAAAAGGCAGGACAAAAAAACCCCCACCACCCTGCAAAGTGAATCAGCTAAATTCTACTCACCATTGAAAGGGTTAATCTTCCTTGAGATGCGTAAAGAAATCGATTCCTTCAGGTCTTTCTTCTTCACACACTGAATGCCCAGATTCTGAAAACTGAAGCACATGGCGCAGGATTTTAGCAACTAACTAAATCTTCAGTGTCAAATATTAAATAAACTATTTGATACTGACTAGTGTAATAACATACAGTGTAAGAAATTTAAAGAGTAGCTTATTTCAACAAGAGTCATGATCTGAAAAGCAGGGATGCTGGTTTTTTTCTAAAATAAGAGTAGAAACAGAAGTGAAAAATGAAGTGAGGGGCAGCTTCAAAGTCTTGTCAGCTCCCTGAACTGGCTGGCTGAGGGGTCACAAACACCACTGTCACAACGAGAGAAATAAAATTCTAAAGAATGTATATGCTTTATTAAGAATATATTTTTCTATATTAAAAATTGTTACTCTGCAGTAAGCCTACAGTGATTAAAAAGTTAAATACTCAATTATTTTTGTTATCAATAAACCTGCTGATTTGCATTAGCTAAGTATTTGCCCTCCTGCTTCTATCAGGGAATGTAAGTTTCAAACACCATTTTAAAGGTTTTTATTGAAACAAGCCTAAACAGGTTTTTAAATCTCATGTAGTTATGAAAAACTTCTGAAGAGCTGCAGCTCTTCCTTATTTGCATAAGAGCACAGGTCACCCTGATGCAGGAGGTGGGGGGAGTCCCAAGTGAGCTGGCTCTTTCCCACATGGAAAAACCATGACATCATCAAAGCTGAGTGGATGTAAAGCAGGAAGTAAAAAAAATAATAAAAAAAAAAAAATCTGTGTTTCGTGATGTTACAATAAGCTCAGAAGAGAGGTCATGCCAGCAGGCATCTTTCTGCAGAAGTACCAGCAATTTCCCTTCCTTTGAAACTTCACAGAAGTTACTTGCTTTAGCTATGCCTAAAAAACACCTTAATGCACCTAAAAATACTCTTTGTTCTGCCAACACCCTCAAGAATAGTCCTACATTTCCCTGCTCTGAACAAGACTATCCTAGCATGATGTTAAGTTTAATTGCCTGTGACCAATACGCTCTATTCAAAGGTTCCCAAGTCCTCTGCGATCAGGCTCCGCTTCCACAACCTTTATTCACTAGAGGAATGCAGGAGCTTCCTTTTGAACCTGAGCTTGATACAATGACCTAGAGGAAAATAAAACACGGTAGGATCTCATAGTTCACTGAAGTACTTTGGCTTCACATATTGGATAGTGACATTCACGAGCTGTACTGTACCTTGATGAGCAATTCTATTTCTGAATTCTCTTTCAGGTAGTACCTTTTTTAGGGCTTGATCACAGCACATATAACATTTTTCCCCTCCCAAAATACCCACTGTATTCCACAGATTCAGCTGGAAGCACACTTCCAGTCCATGAACAGGCCTGGTTCCATATTGTTACCCCAAATTGCTACCTGGCAGTGCCAGGCTCCCCAGCCACCCACTGTAAATCACAGAGGGCAAAAGCAAGAACATACACAGAACCAGCCTTGAACAAAAGCTCTACCCAGCTATGTAAGGACTGACAGCCATCACTCCACACCTCTCAACTACTGTGAGCAAAGCTTCTCATGGAGAAAAATGAGACTTTTAAGCACCTCATAATTCTCAGTTTATAAACATTTTCATAAACATGTGCTGTCACAGTGAAAGAGCGTATTTAACAATCGCTAAACAAGGGCGGGATCAGAGGAGAAACTGTTGAGAACCTCAGCAAGGCTGTGGGGTTTCACATCAATGCTAGCTGACAGGAAGCAAGCGAGATAACGAGAAGAGAGAGGGAGAAGTAGGAAGAGAGAAAAAAATCTGAAAGACATTTTAAAAAACTATGATATCATCTGCGTAGAGAGACAGCAAACGAGGAAGCAAAAATCTGAGCGTACAAGCAGCCACACACACTCCAACATTCACACTTTTGCCTTGATGTTTTGGGCAGAGAGGACTCTGATCAAGTTTAAGCAGCAGGACCAAGATCATTATACCACAAGTGGAGCAAAACACTTTGTTCGACCGGAAATACATGGGGAACTTTAAACAAGCAGAAAGCAGAGTAATTATTCAGAGCAGTCTGAAATCTGGGATTGATAATTCTAGTTCTGGGACTAAATAAATAAATAAATTGGATTTTTGCTCTGTTTGGGATGCTCAGCAAGAGTAAAGACCCAGAGCCACTGCCAAGAGAGGACACCTCCTGCTCACTAGTATTGCATGAGGCTTTTCTCCAACATGGAATTGAAGAGAAGAACATAAAAACTGAGTCACCAGCCACAAAAAGGAAAATGACTTTAAACATCCAGATCCAATTATGGATCATAATGTTCTTTCATCTTAAAGCAACCAATGATTTGTTAAAAAACAAAAACCAAAAAAAAATGTGTACCAATGCTGGAAACATTTCAAAGAGAACGTTTCTAGCCTCCTCCCATCAGGATCTCCGATGTTAACAGTTTTGCATTCTTAGTAAAGTGAAAGTAGCCCACTTACTATTTTGTAAGAAACCAAGAGGTTTACAACCCAACTGTATTGAGAAGAATCAACAGATACAGCAAACAATCACAAGTGCTTTCAATTAAATAGACACACAGCATTACATCAAAGAACAGGATTTGATGCATACATATAATGGAGATTAAATAAAAATTAGCAAATAAATACTTGCAGAGCATCCCAACGCTTTTTGGCATTACATCCTGTAACGGCCTCTCTACAGGCTTGTCTTGTGCTTACACACTTAACCTAGTGCAACAAAATGCCAGGAGGAAAAACAATCACCAGTGTCTTCCTGCACCCAGTGAATGTAATCCATACCCAGAAAAGGCATTAAGCAATCAGGCTTCTTTGCTTCAGATCAGAAGGCAGAGAGCTGAGAGCAGGAAGTGGGATGGGCTGGAACAACAGACATCCTTTGGCCGTGGGTGAGGAAGCTTGTTTTGAGAAGACAAAGAAGAAGCTGGTGAATGGATGGTCAGAGGAAGGTGCAACGTCCCTTACGAGTTTAAGGTATTTGCAACTGCCTTTTTAGACAAGGTGAAGGGGAATTCTATTCACAGGGAAGCCGATGAGGATGAGGTTACAACAATCAAGATGTAAGGTAAGTGCCCGAAGGGACAGCCCTACTTTTCTAGAGAGGTACAACATTGGTGGGAAAATTATAGGAATTACTAAATTTATTAAACTTTTTCTACCCTTTGCCAATTAGGACAGCATTGTGAACAGAGCTAGGAACAATAAACTAATGACACTGTTAGTGTCTGTAACAGCAAAACACAGTACAGTCAACATGCTACATGCCACCTGAATACACTGCAGCACACTCATGATCACTTGAGCTGGTCTGTGTGTTGAAGAAGCACCTCCACTATTACAACTGTTTATTCCACCATCAGGCAATCACCATCTCCAGACAGACGTTGCCTTCGGTTCTCTCCTTTAACAGTGTGCTGCTGACTAAACCCACAGAAATATGGGGCAATTTCACTAACATCAACAGAATCACATCAGCCTGAGAGCAATGCATAAGGGCTACTTACACACTGAAATATTTACCTTATTTTCTTTCCAGCTCTGTTATGTTTACCCCAAAGCCTATTTCCAAATTTACTACATCACAAACTGTAAGCCACAAACAGCTTGACAATTCTAAATTTCCCTCTCCAGCAATAATCACTCGGTATTTGTTGCCATTTACTCTGCTTTTACTTTATTACTTAAGACTTGGTAAACTTACAAGAAATGCCATCAAACACAACAGTATTTTAGATATTCTTAATATCCCTCTGAATACCACTGAGAAACATATTTCATACACAGCCTGAATTTTCTTTACTGCATCCACAAGTAGATCCTTCCCCAGCATGCTGGCTCTACAGAGCTGGACCTGAGCAGAATCTGTATTTTTACTCAAAAAACCTCCCGCCCAAACAAACAGGAACAACAGTGACATCTAACACATTTCTGTCACAACCATTATCTTCTGAATGATGTGATGATGCTCAGCCAGTACAAACTTTCTCCACCAGTTTCCGGAAAGTCCTAATATAATTCCCATGGAAGGTGTGAACTTCCCTAAGTCTCTTATCACCATGAAATATTAATTCTAGTGTTGTTGTTACCCATTCTAATACCCATCATTTTCACATGCAGGAGAGACTAAAATAAAGCAAACAAGTGGGAGAAAGGAAAAAAAGAGATAGACATTGGAAGAATGAACAAAGGAAAGAAAAGGGTGACGGGAAAAGAATAGGACCAAAGATGAGAGTGTGAAGTACTGAAAAAGAAGAAAATACTTCAAAGAGAAGTTGCCCTCTTTCTGAGATGGATTAGTAACCCTCAGCAGAGACAGCATACTAATTGCCCTTTTAGTCACTACTCAAGAGTTTTAAAGCATAAGATTTGCTAATCACTTGCATAATTAATCAAAATCCCAAGCAACACCATTACTCACGACAGGACTCGCCGTTCTGGCCCAAACTCTGCTTCGTAGTAGCCATCTCTGCAGTCTTTTCCAACCAGATCATGAGGGTGTGGCTTGTACGGTTCATTCTTCGTTACCAATGTAGTTCTTATTTTGACTTTTCCAAAATAGTTCAGAATCTACAAAAAACATGAGATATTTTCTCCCCACATGTAACAGAAAATACATTTTATCCCAAAATCCTCTATGGAAGAAACATCACAGCTAAGAAAATGGCGTTACTGCTTCATAAAAGCCAGGACCAGAAGTTTTGTTTATTCCATTTCAGTTTTGTTCATTTTACACTAAAAAACACAACTCTTTGGCAAAATATCTGAAAATTGAATTTTTTTTCAAAAGTATATCTCATCTGCTTCAGAACGTAAACCCAACATATTTCACCTGCTGATTTTGCCAAAGCAGCTGGTTATTTGTAATGATAAAATTTTGCTAGCGCCAGTGTGTGACATTCAACCCGTTCAGTTCTCAAACTTCTCTACTGCAAGAATAGGAAGGAAGGAAGTTTGAAAGGCTCTAAAGAATCTTCCCCTCCCTTCCCCTTCAATTTTTTCTGAGGCTGGAGATCTACTGTTTCCCATTTTACCAGGGCTCTTTATATGAGTTGAATTCATGCCTGTGCAAAAGGCCAGAGATAACATAGAAGCTTAGACCTCAGAGTAAAACAGTTTGTAATGCTGTAAGACCAAACATAAAAGGATATATTTAATTATCAAGAGAAGATGCAAAATTCTACATAGGTGACCACATAAAAATGCTTATTGAAGGACAGGTCTAGCTTCAAAGACCTTAGGAAAAAACTCCTACAGTCTGAAGGATAAGGATATTACCTGTGCATGGAACACTAAGTAGTGAAAGAGGATCTTAACAGATACAGTGTGACATAATCCCCTATGAAGTTGGGGGTTTTTGTGTGGGTTTTTTTTAAAATTAATTCACAGATTAATATTCAGTGTTATATTCAAGGAGGGAGGCACTGAATTCTCAAGCTCCTTCTAGAGCCTTCACAGCAGTCATCAGCCTAATTCAACATGTTTCTCAGGTGCTTAAAAGAAGTCTTCCATCATGCCGACGGCTACCAGTTAACCAGTGAAGTCACCAAGGGCTGTGTAGGTGTGAAAAAATAAAAACAACAATAACAAAAAACCAAAACAGTTTGGCCTAAATTGTTTGAAGTGTAACATCCTGAAAGCAAATACAAGACTTGCTCAGGCACACATTCATGCAGAGGCGAGCTCTCCTCCTCCACTTCCCTTGCCCTATAACTGTTCTTCTCCTCCTTCAGCCCTTTCTTTCCTCCTCCTAAGACTCTAAGGATCCATTATATATCCTTTTTGGCCGACACCTCAACCTTTAACTTGACCTGTGTTCCTCCAGCTTCCATCATCTGTTAGCTTCTTCAGTCTCCAATTTGGCTCCTTTCCTGGCCTTCATACAAGCCACTGTTACTTTTAACCCTCAAAATAAAACTTCACCACTCCTTCACCTTCTTCAACTATTACATCATTTCTCCCTCATTTCACACCCAGACCCTTGAACTTGAAGCCTGTTCTAGGCACTTTTGATTCTCCAGTTCCTCCTTGGTGTTCTTCATCTCAACCGCACCACAAAATTTAATCTCTTCCTGGCCTTTCTGTTCTCATCCTCATTCATGTTTCCATCTCTAGAGGGGACTCCCCTAGCAGCTAATCAGCACTAAAGCCTCCTACGGGCTACAGGGAGGCAGGAATTCACCTAGAAATCACCTGCTATCAGTAACAATCAACTCTGTCATCAACAGTCACCTTTAAAAAAGAACAAACTACAGCCAGGATCGCGATGTCACCCACCATGTCCCATCTTTCCTTTAGGTTCTGGTTGGCCTTCATGTCCAAGGTAAGAGGAATCAAGGGCTTATACTGTCTGTGCAGCTTGTGCCCTGACACAGCCTTAGGCTGAGACTTTGAAAGTATTCACTCTTGCCAGCAGTCTATGCAGTTCCTTGTTCAATTGGTAGAGTGCTGAAAAATAGTCTGGCAAGATCTCAATTTCCTGCATTCCTTAACCAAATCTGGCACAGACAGTCAAGAGGAGAACCTTCTTCTTTGCTTCTTCCCTTAGTAATTCTGGGTTCAGGGCCAGATCAGCTTCTACAGTTGCTTTATGTAGTAGAGGCTCACTCTGCTGCTCAACACGACTGCCAATGCTATCCTTCTCAAACTCTGCCTCTTCTTAAAGAACTTCTATACCTCAGCCTAAAACATCTCACATTTTTCCAGATTTCACATCTTCTGTATCTTTTCTTTTTCTACTGTGATTCCAGAGGCGCTATCTTTAGCTCCACTTTTTTTTTTTTACACTTGCACACAGTGCAAACACAGATACACAGCTTCTGCTCCTGGGCACGGTAATGTACTTCAAGATGGGAAGCACGCCTAACTTCCCATTTACATATGAGCTTTCTTTTCTCATCTCTGACAGATTTCTCCAAATTGAAAGAGATCAAGGAAACACTAGCAATTTAAACTTCAAACAGGAGACCAGAAATTCTTCTCCTTCACCCTACCTGTCTAGGGTCTTTAATACTTTCCTTTATCCCACTTATGAAAGCTACTGCCAAAGCACTTCCATTCCACCTCTACTGTATCTTTGTCCCTGCTTTGATCATAGCTGCTAGGGCTACTCCAAATCCCTTCATTCTGGATTTCCTAACCTATCCATAATGCATACACCCAACTCATCCTCACTGCAGGTGCTCTGACCACACAATTCCCCTTTCTCTGCTCGTTTTTAAATTCTGTATCCCCTTCTGACTTCACATACTTCACGGTAGTTTCTTTTGCAGAGTCTGATCAGCAAATCACTGGTTGCAAGTCACTTCCTTACTTTGCTCACTGGTACAAAGAGCCTTCTTTCACACTGTGCTTAGCAGCTTTTCAAAGCCTTTCCAAATTTTGTACACAAGCTCCTTCAAAGCTCTCCCAAAATTCATACTGCGGTCCAAATAGTAAAAACAAACCCAAGTCGCTTAACTAAGAAACCAGAACAAATGTGCATACAGAAAAAGCTAATAATGAATGGTTCCCAGACAATGAGTAACTTCACTGAGCTTCTTCTCTACTGGCACTTTGGTAACTACCTCTACACCTTCTCCTCTGCTTCTAAATTGGGAACGAAATCTTTAATGACTAGGAGCAAGGAACTCTTTTTCCACTCTGTTGCAACTATATTTGCATGCCAAGGAAAGAATAACAGAACATGAAATGAAAATAATTTTATTTACTGTACCGAGTCCAACACATAGCTACAGCACAGCGTTCATGTGTGCAGTGGTAATTCATGGATAAAAGCAGTATTTACCTGTATGGAAGGGAATGTCTTATTGTTCTCAGTACTGTGTTCTCCTGGAATGCTGCCTGCTGATCTTCCCTCACATTTATATCTGAAACGCATGCCCCTTTGCCTGGGCTGTTCAAATATTTCAATGTAGGGCTCAGGGCCACCTTAAAAACAAAACAAAATGTTTTCAGTGTTAGTACACAGTAGATCTTAACAAGCAGCAGAAGATGGAAGAATTAGAAGATCTAGACTCATTGATATTACCAACTTTCCACTTGGTCTACCTTCTCAGACAACCAACATGCACACGTTGAAGGTAGGGGGTGAAAGAAGAGAGTAGATTTCAAAGGAAGCCTCAGGTATCAGTGCCATCTAAGTAATTAGCAAAGGACGCCCTCCCCTCCATTCCACCTAGAACTTAGTTTCTTTTAGCTATTAGAGAGTATGTGTCTGATAAAAGAGGATTTTATAAAACAGAAAAATCATCATTTTAAGAGAGTGGTTGATATTTTTAATTACAATACACTTGTAGGAATTGTCTTCTCAAATTACAGGTACTATCAGTCCTACGTTCCCTTAAATGTCCTCTGAAAGTGAAGATGTTTCCTCAGAATTGATTGATTTAGTTCCTATTATAATGAAGCAGAAACTATGCAAATTCTGCAAAAAAAACCCCACCAAACCCAACTGGGTTGAACATCATCACTGTGGGCTCAGAAAACACCTGATTGCTGGTAGTGAATTCTGCATCCTGAGCTGCCCACCTCCCACAGGGCCAACTTCTAGTTGTAGTATCTCCCCAGACAACGAAACCTCAGTAAAAGCTATGGAGCAGCTGATGAAAAGAGGTTTTCAGGAAACACAAGTGATAGCCAAGAATAATCACAGAATCACAGAATGTCAGGGATTGGAAGGGACCTCAAAAGATCATCCAGTCCAATCCCCCTGTTGGAGCAGGAACCTAAATGAGATCACACAGGAAGGCGTCCAGGTGGGTTTTGAATGTCTCCAGAGAAGGAGACTCCACAACCTCCCTGGGCAGCCTGTCCCAGGGCTCCCTCACCCTCACTGTAAAGAAGTTTCTTCTCAAGTTTAAGCGGAACCTCCTGTGTTCCAGCTTGTACCCACTGCCCCTTGTCCTATCACTGGGCATCACTGAGAAGAGCCTGGCTCCATTCTTGTGACATTCTCCCTTAACATATTTATAAACATTAATAAGGTCTCCCCTCAGTCTCTTCTTCTCCAATAAGAGACAGCCAAACTCTTAAATGGTGGGGTTAGAAATACGTTAACTTAGCAAGAGTGTAAGTACTTTTCAAGTGATCTTTTATTGCCAGACAGTAACAAGCTATTTAATATATCTTAACTGAGAACATCAAACAGGGTAGTCAATCAAACAGTGACAACAGTGGGATGGCATGTGAAAAACAAACAACAGAGGGTAAGTAAACATTGTAGAAGTTGAATCATCACGGTGTTGCACGATTAGAAGAACATAGCTTATGGAAATGTCTACTGAGCTCTCTGTCATCTTCATATAATAGCATCCTACTCAAGCAAGGTTGAGCATCACAAACATGACAGGCAACATCCTGTGGCACAGCACTGAAAAAAGTGCTTGGACTTCAACATAATAAGCAAAATAGTTATTAAGTATATTGAAAGTGCTAAAAGGGTAAAAGATCCACTACTTCCTTTTGCCCGAGGTCTATACTAAGGTCCACAGCATATGAGTTTTGGCAAAGAGGTGGATTCCAATCTTAACTCCATAATAAAAGTTTCTCTTTTGTTGCATCTACAACAACTTGGGTACAGCTGCCAACGAAGCTTGAACTTTGTGTCTCGGATTTGTTGATGGCAAAACATTTGCAGTGCTGCAGCAGTTTATACTAAAGTAGGAAAATATTATAACCTAGAAGATAAAACTCATTAAGAGAAGTAGAGAAGGGATGGAAAGAACTTCATCTCTGAGGTGTCACCTTCGTCTTACCTGAGTGCACATTTCAACTGCAACACAGCTACAGACAGCTGTGGAGTAGCAGTATGAGAAAGCAGCTCTGATGCTGGACTTGTCTTCAACAACATGTGTCTTTTCAAAACCTGAATGCCTTTTAAAAAGGTACAGTGCATTTCAACTCCAGCCTGTATCTGGTGCCAAACATTTGAGAATTACTGTTTAGGACTCTCCATATTGCTTTCTAACAATTTATCAAAATTAAATATCTAAACTGATGAACTACTATCAAGCAGGTTTTAAATAATTTTCTGAAAACAGCCCATGATCTGTCACATTAAATACACATTAGCCATTACTTACAAAGCTTCCAGTTACTTACGAGGATGGTCCTTTTTCTAGATAATTCCCAGATCTTACCTAATCCTCCATTAGATAAGCTTTGCACATTTTATCTTTCTGGAAAATAAGCAAGTCCAGCAAAGGGGAGAGAGGAACAGACATTGATAACAGAAAAGCCTAGAAAAGAAATAAAGCTGGTTTCAAAGGGAGAGCAGAAGTCTGAGCTTATTACAAAACCAAGCTCACACACCAGTGTAGGGCTATTTAACTTTCACCCTTAAATTTACTTATGCTATTGTATTTATCAGCACAGTCCAGACAACAGAGGACTTCAGCCAGCAGTGAGGAGGAACTGCTGCATATCAGTCAGCTTCCCGTTTCCATCATGCAATTGAGGAGAGAAAAGAATCTCACCTTTCCTTTCCTACATAAGGCAGCATGTCACTAAACGCAGACATGTGTCCATATACTAAATTAAAGATCTATTTTAGAAGTTATAATGACAGAATTGCAGCAAAGTGCCTACTAATCATCTTACTTTGGAGATGCACATGCTTACATAGCTGCTAACCAGACACACAGGACACCCACGTACGTTACATGTTTGTCAAAACGAGCTAGAGCCTTGCTGTTCGAAACTACTACAGAACACAATCACCTCAAATCTTTAACTCTCTCTGCTTTAACCAATAATTTCCCTTCATGCTCTATTAGTAGTTGCTTAAGAGGACTTTTTTCTCACCTATTAAGAGCATTTTAATCTAAAACTCTGGGCTCAGTGATCTTTTACGGGGCTGTGGTCGAAACAAATGTCATTGAAGGCAAACCCACTGCTTAGCAGGTGTGTTTGTGGGAAAGTAAAGTTCACTGACGCGGTAGCCTCCAGAGATTAAACTTTAAACTTCATTTCACCGTGGTTCTCTTTCACTCTATTTAAGAATCACGTTATCACCTCTACCATGATTATTGGTGTCATCATGTTTTGTGCAGAGAGGAAACACACAAGTGTTTGTGCAAACTAAAGGTATTACCAGCAGCCTGCAGCAAAGCGGAGGGCTGCTCAGGGTTCCCTATTTCTGTAAATCAGCAGTGTGCTTGTGAAGCGACACGGCTTCGCTATTTCACAAACCCCACTCACGCACAGAAGCCTGTTCCTGCCCACGCAGTTGCTAAAGACCTGTCCTCTTCAGGTCTTGCTGTGTTTGCCAAACAAATATGAGCTATGTCAAAAACCCGAACTCTTTCACTGATTTTGGAAGAGAAATGTACGGCTACTTGTATTACCTACCTGCCCACAACTACTCTGAAAAGCATTTGTAAGGGAAGAAAAGCAAAAATCTAGCTAATCCTTCACCTAAGTGCTTAAGAGGTTAATTTGCCTTGGTAATTAATTATAATTGCCTATACACATGCTAGCAATAGCAACATTATGCTACATATTACAACCTGTCTCTTTTCTTTTTGTTATAAAATTGTTTATTTCCCCCCCCCCCCCGTGTTTGGAATACTACACTAAATAATTTAAAAGAGAATATAGGAGATCAAGTGTCCTAGTTACATACACAAGGAAAATAGATAAAAACAGTAACAGTTCCAAGAGTTCAGTCACCTTATACTCATTCAAGAACTGAAGGTTGTTTTATTCTCATCTGTTTTGAGCAATACAAAAAGGAACAAAAGGACAACCCCAAAAACTCAAACCAACATTTCCACCAGGCCTCTCCACAATGAGAAATCTGGGCTGGTTTAAAGTTTAACACGCCCTGTGCCATTAGGGAGGAAGCGTGACACGCTGCCACCAAGCAAAGTGACAACGGGATCAAGGGTTCATAGGTTTTGTGCCTTTGCTCAAAGGAAGCAGGCTCTGGAGGGACGATATGATTTGTAATTTTCTTGCGCAACGAGGAGCGCCCTGCGAACAGACTCTCCAGAAACATCTGCGTGTGAAAGCAAAGTAGTCGTGGGTCTTTGTGAAAGATGTGAAAGTATCGCCCGAAACCCTACGATGCGAGGTGACTGCAGCAAGACACAGATGGGAGAAGTGTCGCCCTTCACCTTTGATGTCACTGCTCTGTACAGATCACTGATGACTCTACGTCCTACACAGCACCAGCCATTTCGGAAAAGCAAGGCCATACAATCCACACGCTTAGAACCTCCTGCAGCAGCTCAAGCGAAAGAGACAATGTCAGAAGATTTATTATAGCACATTCTGTCTCAATCTATAATAACCAAAAGTGTAAACACAATTTTAGAAAGCAGTAATCGACCCAGGACTCCATAAACTGTGCAGATTCTAACAGAGAGACAGAACTGCTCACGAACTTCCTCTTTACTATCGTGTTACATTACAGAACAGCAACCAAAAGAAAAAAAAACAAACCAACTACTAAAGCTGACTAGTACCAGGAAGTTATGAACTTCCCCTACTGAAAAATTCCTTATCTGGTTCCTAATTACACTGAAAATATGTTAATACATTAAGAAAAAAAAAAAAAGTGCTACCTCCTGCTTCAGTTTTGCCACTCTAAAGTACAATATAACATTTAAAACATGCCTCTGAACAAATCTGGTTGGTTTCTCTCTCTGTTGATAGTTAGCACATACATAATTTAATAGGAGTGAAAGTTCATATTTGCTGAATGGCAGCTGAACACACACACTCCCTTAAGTTTTAAGGTTGGAGAGCAACTTTCCTTAAAAATTACTCTAATTAATGCCACCAAGTCTGAAGTTTTAATGGTTTTGTGGGGCTTTTTTTAAACCCTAAAATACCAGAGAAACACCTTCTGAAAGGATGACAAATTCAGTTTAATTTAGCCTAAAGAAACTTAATTGTGCTTTTTGTTGTAATTACTCAAAGGCACG